CCTTAACCGGATGATCATATGTATATTTAGTAGACGATGATTCGAGGACAAAATGCATAGTCGGATAATATAATTTTCTGTGGTAAAGAGAACTAATTTTTAGAAAACATCGGGGGTTATTCTGGCAATGAGAGCATAAATGTGCCCATTGCTCGTAACATTTACTTCTTTGATAATTTTATTTGTGGCCTAGTTTAAGCTCTTTTTGCCGATTTTATTTTTCGTTTGTGTTACCTCAATATCTTAATTGTAACTTATTCAGTACATAAATTAAATTACTAACGTTCAATTCGAGTTTTGTGCAATTTAGGGTGCATTTTTCCTGTTTACTAGCAACAAGATAGGTCCGTAGAACGGACACACTACCAGTTCTGTTAAAAATAGATTTTTCACTACACTACTATAAGTTGAGGTGTTTTCGTTATGTATTTTCAACAGCTGTTTATTGTTTACTACCGAAAGTAACATTGTTTACACTCGAAAATGCCAGCAGGTTTGCTATGACGGGGGTATTTCAGAGATACGTTTGTCGTCCGTGTATTTCCACTGTAAACAACTTCAAATATTTGTTATTGTTTTATCAACTATTTCAATTGTCAACAACCAAAGTCAGTAAATATTAAAATTGAAGGCATGACCTAAAAAAAGTCTATGAGTTTTGTAATGAAGAAAATAATTATTCTTTATAGTATAGCGAAAAGTAACGTTCAAAACATGAGTAAAAGTGGGTCTATACATATTCTCGACCATTTAAACATGGTCTGAAATATGTAATGACTCACTTTCTACTCTTGTTATGAAAATACTATTACTACATATACAGATGGTAATTTTTTTTATTCACTCTGTATGACCACCTAAAATACGAAACAGTCGATTTTTATCACGTCATGATGTCTTTATGTTTGTTACACTGTATGAACTGCTAAAACTATTCATCATATGAAATGCAATTGCAGATTCGCGTGTAGTTTACCTCATCAAAACTTTCCGCGGCCCACGTCCCCCAGCACGCGCCACGGACCGACGGTTTGTCGGTTATCTGTAGGTCAATGCAATCTGTTAATCGCTGTGTATACGATCCGAATGTTATTTGTGGTCGATCGTGTTTTATCACGCAATATTGGCTAATTGATGGATATTTTTAGCCTTTATCGACTCCACTTTGGCACTTTTGATATATAACAACACCGTGATACGTATTACGTCAGTAGTGGAAATTGTTTCAAGATTTTTCCAGTTTAATACTTTTTTTATACTCATAATCTGCATAACATTATTTGTATTACTATCGTAGTAGTAAAGATTGTAAATTTTGTCTCTGAGTGTGCACGCAAAACTATCATATTCAAATTTAGTGAATCAAAGAATAACTATAACCATTGAAACATGGTTATAGACATCCATTAATGTAACCACAAAGGTTACATAAGTAAATGTAATTTAAAGATATTGGTGTTTGCTTGTATAAAGTAGTTAATGTGTAATGGAGGTTGTTATACTTATCTAGTGGTTGTGGTAATTTGTTGATGTGGTTGTTGTGTGTCGGTAATTTCTTCGAGTTTCTTCGAATGTGAGTTGGTCTGTTCAAATAGACAAAATGGTGTTAGTAAAAGTTAATACCTATTTTGAATAATATGTAAACTATTATAAGCTTAATGTAGCGTAAAATGGAGGCATCGACTCATCGACTTAACCTACGCTCGTATCAAACCCCGCAGTTCTAGATTTGTCCTTGGCTGGCCTCGTGTTTTGCAAATTCTGTAAATGTAAATGTTTCTTTGTATGTATTTTATGTATAAGGTATTTTGACAATGGCCCGTGCTGAATGATTATGTTTAACGATTGACGAGAAAAAGGATTTGAAAATGGCAACGACATGTCATTAACCTTATTTATGTAATAGTTACGTTACGGTGATATATTATTAATTTTGTTTACAATGTAGGCCAACATATGTCCAACCTTCACATCCTAATACAATAGGCAGAGCTCGAAACCGTACATTAATTTAGGTTATGCCTGAATGGCACACATTATCACATATCATAAATCTATTATTGATTGGCGTAGTGTGAACCGAGGATCTTGGGGACCAGCCCAGCGCTCTTCCACTAAACCAGATCTCGTCCGGTTGTGGACAGTAGGTATTTAAATGAATACCCATAAAATAGATTAAAGGAGTTGACTACTCATTTAATTTACGCATATACTTATAATGGTAGAGCTGTAAGAACGAGCTTCACCCCTGGATTAAATCCATTAAGAAAACTATAAACCATGACAATACATGTCCGGTAATTATTTACAGCGGCAATGCCCTCTACTTCTTGGGTCGTTACTTTATTACGAGATATATACAACCGTCAGGTTTTCAGATATTAAACTAGCTTACAAGACAGTATGGCCAAGGTCATAAAGTAAAATGCGAGCTTCAAAACTTAACTTAAACAGTAAATGCGGAAATTTAGTCGGCGTCAACGCACACGTACACAATCCTTACCACATTTGAAATATACTTCCAGGCATCATATTTTTCCGTATGATTCGCAGTCGCAGTTGATAAAGTCATTAGTTGAAACTAGAATAACAATCAACACGGTTTACAGTTTCTTCTTACGAAAAATTAGTATTGTGTTGATTGGAGATGTATAGTACATGGATTCGATCGGGTATTATCATTGACTATTGGATACAGAAGAAGACATCCCATCTATATGGATCAGCTGTTGCCATTTTTTTACTAAAAAAGAATGTAGTTGTGTGGGCCAGTCACAGAATGCGCTAGTATCTAAAATTCCATTTTCTACCTTATTTTTTGTTAGGTACTCACATCATTGATGGGTCATAACAGTTGCTATAGCTCATAATAAGTCGTTCCATCAGTTTGACTTGGTAAAATTCATCGTGTATTCGACAGAAATCAGTAAATTAGATCAGCCCAATTCTGTTTAAAAACCTGGCGAAAACTTTAACATGGGGATGGAATATGCATTGTCGTGTATAGATTATAAAAAGCCCAAAATTGTTATCTGCAATATGTATAACTGCAAAGAGTACCTGATGTTCGTATGCTTGTTTTTTTCTCTTTTTTTTCTTTGGGTGTTTGCTTTTCTCGCCATTTTATGTGTTGTAGAGTAGATCATCATTCTGTATTGTAATATCTTAGCGTTACGTTAGAACCACGTAACATGTTTATGCATGAACGGGCAAAATTAATGCAAGTTTTGCTGCAAACAAGTAATTACGTCGTGTAATCAGTTGGAATACCTTGTTTTCAGATTAATGACTAAAAACTAAAAACCCGACGTAACAGGCATTTCCAGTAATAATTGTGTTGACCGCTCATGGCTTTGTAGTTGAATGTAAATAAATTGCTGCACACAATGTTCTACACTAGGTATAAATTTGCTCATACTGTATTCAACATTGGATGTTGTTTAGTTTAATCAAAGCTTCGTTGTAATTGGATACAATAAACATAATTCAAATAATTTAAGAAAACAAAAACCATGCCACTTATTGTATTTAATAAAATAGTTTGCATTAAAGTAATCAAACACCAATTAGTATGTGTTCATTTACATGTGTATTGTGACAAATGTCAACGTTCAATATGGTGATTACTCAATTCATATTGTTCCAATAATAGGTGTTAACAAGAGCATGACGTGTTTATTAGAATTTAATTTATAATGAAAAGTTACTTTATATTACTCCTACTGCTTTCTTCGAAATCGTTGGTCCGATTAAATATATTTTTAAATGAGACTCGTTTAATCCAATTGGAGTAAATGTATTATCTATCAACTCATATTGAACCTTTTCTGTATCTTAGATTAAACTCTTCCATTGTTTTAAATTTCAAAATATGATTATTGAAACTAATCCCGTACAAAGTCTTAACTTATTGTTTTATTATTGGACTATTAAGTACCAAAAAACATTGGATTAAGCGGGCAAAGACTGCCATAAACTGTAATGTATTTACGTTATTCATGCGAGTACAATGAAAGTGTAAACACCCCGCTATAGGTCATTAGCCAATGTGTGTTTTGTGTTTTGTTTGTATTGTTTTCCAAACAGGTTTGTTAAAAATTAAATTTATACTTAGATAATTAATCCAGTGGTATTGCGCGCGCTTTCTTTAATCTCAAGTATGATGCGTAGTGATACCACCCGGGTGAAACTCACAAGGCCGCGGAAGGAACTACTTGTTGTGATAAGTCAATTTCTTGGAGGTAATTCTAATTCATTTATGTTATGGTCAAAGGAAGACAGTTTGGGCCAGGGACGGAGTAGACGGATGTGACAAACGTGGTGTCCGTGACCCGTGGGAAAGGAGGTTCGTGGAGTTTAAACTCCAACTACAGTGATCACATAGCGTGTTTGTGTTTTGTGTGACTAATTAGTACATTTATATTAACATTGTGTGTGTGAAGCGCCTACTGAGCAATCTATAACATTTAATAGGTAACATTGGACCTTTCCTGAGTCAAAACTATATAATGTGAACCTAGGTAAAATGCGATGAAAAAGAGAATCCAGGAACGGTTTGTTCTGATGATGATTGATGGGAGTAGGATGAATGCAAAAAAGTCTTGCTAATAGTTCTTGCCATAGAGTTTGCGTGGTTTAAGAACATTATTTCCCATTAACATTGTTTTATAGTGTAAGCTTAACATAATTGTAATAACATTATATGCCATCAATGCGAAAAAAAGTCCAACAATTAGTTATTAGAAACTTCAAATACAGCTTGTGAAAAGTATAAATTTAATGTGTCTCTAAAAGTGCAATATTCAATATGACCCACTTGACTTTATAGCCTTTTTTTAATAATAATTGTTATGTTTAAATGCAGTGAACACATTTTTAATGACGATGGTTTTAGTTCTCAACCTTTGACTCAATGTCGAATTTTGAGTTAGTTCTCGAACATTAGCTCATTGTTACAGGGGAAATGTATATTGTATTAAATGTTGTGTTGTATGTTACAGGTTACAAGAATTGCAGATAACCTTATTGTTGTGAGTTTACAAATTTGTTTCATTTTTTTACCCCCTCTGGCCATAGTTTTTTCTTTTTAGTAATTTCTTAACCGTAAATATAACCATAGTGTGGTCTTGGGTCTTAACAACATGTTTAGTTGTGTAGTGTACATACATTGTAAGTTGGTTGATCCAAGGTTTCCATTAACTTGCGGTATGTGTTCACATGTCGCACATGGCATGGCTTGTCCTTTATATACGCTTCTAGGCAGCGAACACAGAATAAAAATAGAATAAAATATTTCTATTCTTGTGTTTGCTGCTTCTAGGACGCATTAGAAGCAACTGATTGATATTCACAACCACTCTGTTGGATTATCTTTTAGTTCTTACACTCATTGTACGTCTACGATATCTATCCACCTCCTCTATATCACATTTTATACCATTCTGAGACTGCATGTGAGTGCATGTGTTACATTTGACACGTATCCGATGGTTTCATTGGTGTTTTTATATAGGGGTTTTAAGCCAAATGTTTATATCGTTATAAATCGTGATTACATTTGGTGATCTTGGCAGATCTTGACATGATAAATATTAAACGAGAAAATGTTCTGTTACAATAGCAGCTTACTGAATAGCTTTCATGAATACCTCCAAGTTCAAAAGTGTCATGTTTCGGTATCAATTTTCATTGCCTTAATAATAGTAGATCGCTTTAACACATGCAATGTAAACTTTATACCAGCAATTGTTTTTTTTTTTTTATGAGTTATAATTGGTAATTTTTAAATAATTGATAATAAATAGTTAAAACTTAATCTCTTATCTCCCTTGCAGCAATGAATACAAAACTTATTGTTTGCAGCTGGCGAAACGAGCCTATAACACTAAAGCAGATGCATTTACTAAAATAAGTTATGCTCTTCACTTTTACTTTACTTCCATTAAAGAATCACTTAAATCAACGAAAGTTGCAGATGTCTGTGACCCGACAACCTGTTGCTTAGCAACATTGATCATTGACTCGGGCTCCATTCATCTCCTTATCTCCGGGGTGTTGCAGTTGGAGACTGTCCTTATAATATAGTAAATCTAATTTCGTACTATAATATCGTAAAAAGTAATGGAGCCATTAAGGTAAACCAATTCGTATTTTAGCGTGTGCTGTGTGCAACATCGTAATAGTCGAAAAATCTTAAACAAACGATTTGATAATGTTTGAAGGGTTTAGATACAATTTGTCATTTTTCGTCTGGGAATGTGCATTCATCAGTGCTCTTTTGTGAGATCGGTGACACAGAATCTATTGGTAAATGTTTTCCCATCGGAAACGTTAAGCGTAGTTCGAAATTATGACATTTCTGTTCAACTCTACGATGGGAAGATACCTCAACAGCTAAAAACAACGAACAGAAGATGAAAATTATATTGACTTTATAGTTGAAGAATAGTGTACAATTGAATGCTTCCACTGCTTAAAAGTCACATTTCATAGTTAGCTGGTTAAAATATTGTTCGAACCAGCGTAGAACCATCGTACAACACATTTCGGTATTTAAAATTGACGGATATCGTTACAGATCTGAAAGATACTAGCTAGCAATAAGTTCTAACATGTTAATGCAGACACACTCTGTTTTGAATATTTTCACAAATTGAGGGATTGGCTATAAACATAAGTACCACCTAGTGCATAATAAAAAATCAATAAAATTAGTGCATTTTCATTAACAGAAACTGGTCGCCGGAAGTCTGTACATAACTGTTCGTTCCAGGACCCTCAGTCTGGTGCACTAGTACCTAGTACGTAACCGTTGCAAAACATCAATTAAACTCATGCTAATTATCTGATCCTTACTTGATACTTTCGGAGTCTTAACTCGTCAGTTTCTTAATTCTTAGCCTCAAAATAAAAATTGTATCACAATTTTCACGAAGAAAGCATCAAAATTTTTAATAAGCTACAAATACAATATTAACCAACTTTTCACATTGTTCCGAATATCCTACTTTTCTCTTGCTGGGACATGTTTCTCAGTAGTGCCAACAATACCGCATGCCGCATGCATCATAATATGATGCGATGAGGTTGTCGAGCAGTGAGCAACAATGTACAACAGCTTTTCTCCGTCTTTGTCTAGCTAGCCGAGTATAAATAACCAAGTTGTCTGTCTTCGTCGCCAACGGAGTGACTCATTTTGACGCTATGTGTTGAGGTGAAACAAATTTAGATCTTTACTTTCGTATTGGTCGATTTTATAATTCTGTGGCAAATTTTATAGATGATGGCAATGACTTGGAATAAGGGTTTGGTCGTTTTTAATCAAATGCATTTTTAGAGATCCCTTGTAGTAAAAACACAATGAGAACTGTGTCTTATTCTGTTGAAACCCTTTAATAAAGCTACATAACCACTAGTTTTTGCATAATACAAAATGTATAGATAGCTCCGCCCAATCCTTAAAATGCGATCCGTCCATCAGGTATAATGATAGGATGCCACAGCAGTCAAATTATTCAATCTAAACCACACTTTCAACCTAGGAATAAATAGGGATTAAATCAGTTGTTAATAGATTACGCATTACTGGTGGTAAGAGTTATGTACTTTTAAACATCATAAATTCTAATTAATTGACAATATTTGTTTCTAAGTATTTCCTAATTGTGAAATTTGGCAATATAAAAACATACAAATTCAAATTGATCTACTACATTGAATTTATACTAATATTAATAACCGGGACTTATATCGAGAGTCGAGAGTTGGAGTCATATTTTAACTTTTATTTTTATATTTTGTACACTTCAGTTATTTGGTTTAACTATTTCTAATCGTGATTCTACTGAACTCAAACTTGTGATTTCGGCCCACACCAGCCAGCTGTGTAAAATATCCTTGTTTCTTTCTAATTTTTAGTTGATTAAACTACACAAACTACACGTTGATTAAATATGTTATGTGAATATTGCTGTAATGCATCTTGTAACATGACGCGTATATTTCGATTAACCTTGATATGATATGGATCAATAAATGCGCAACGTTGAAATTTCCTTTTGCAAGTTCCTGCTTAGTCTTCAACTATGCTAAATGTTCTTTTTAACCCATAATATTCATCCTCACGTTGAAAAATAGAAATTATTCGAAAACTATGTTTCAATCATATAGGATAAGACATTTTCTCTCTTTTAATTGTTGCGTGTGTCCAAAATTAATGTACGAAACAAAATACTGTTATTCTATTCTATTTTTGTTGTGTTAAAAGTAAACTTGTAACCATTATTACGTTTTAAGATATTACTTTTCCTAATGCTGTTTGCATTAAATATTCATGAGGACGTTTTGCTCTAAAAACTGTATCGTACTGTCAGTGTCCTAGAACAATTTTAATGCGGACTGAAAGCTTGGCTTAAAATTGAATTACGAAAACTACTCGCCGTTTAAAACTTTTTAATACAGTAGTTTAGATTGGCTTAAAACTAATCATAAATTATCTTAGTTTTCTTATCCATTCCCACAGATTTTAGTGTTCGATTGTACAAGTAAATACTGCAACTTATAATAAAGTCCAATTGGATTATCTTATTATTATATCGTTATCTTATTATATTATCTTATTATAGTTTACTCGTCAATAAGTGCATGTAATTGTATGTAAACCGGGCTTTTAGTTCGCATTAAATAGTTCTACAACTAACGGTGAAAATATAATTTATTTTTAGAGAAAATTGCAATCCATCTTCTTATGATGTTTACACTTACACAGATTTACACTAGTATTACAGTTTGAAACAATGAATTTTTATATATAACTTAAGCTGATAACTTGTAAGTTGTGTAAGAAAACTCTAAAAGGTACAGTATAACCATATAACATGAAAAACTCATGAAGCGGTTTTTAACTTATGTTGCACCTTTGTTTTCCATTCACTAGCATCAAAAGAAAATTACGATTTAAAGGTTATTTACATTGTGGAAGCTACAGCAAAATCTAATTTTCAGCAATAAAACCACTTCTATTTTGCCAATACAATGTTCCTTACTTAGTATCTTTACGTGGGACAAAAACATCAAATAGCACATTTGACCATGGCACTAACTTATTTTTATAAAACAAATCCCTTTCTTTTATGAAACAATTTTGTTTCTCTAATTTTCAGCGTAAAACTGGCAAAATGTGCGTTCACATACCTGAGCGTGACACAGGGTTTTGTGGAATTAAATTGCTTTTTCAGATAAAAAGGAAGATTAACTGACATGCGAGGCTATTTGCGTGTCCTCAACTCGCTATTTAACAGCAATCAACCCACACACATACATACACACACACACACACAAGTGCGCGCACAGTCATATGAAAACCATGGAATGCCTATGTCCAGCTGATGTCGAGAACGTTTTGGTAAAAATTGAACGATAGAAAAATTCCAATTTAGTGAATCAAATTGTTTGAACACATGTAAACCTGTAGCATTCTCAATTAGCTTCACATTGCATTACGTTAATCTGGTATATTGTTTTGCATATTGACGTTGTATTGAGTGCTGATGATGAGAATTCCCGCTATTGCTGAACATTGAAATAAATGCAACTTCCATGTTTAGACATGTTGACCGCACTAATAATGTTAATAGGTTCGTTAAATTAGTAAAAATGATACCCTATCAAACATGTAGGAGGAAGTAGATTAGATAAAGGGATTACAATTGGGTGATAACATTTAGCCCTACTAGCTTCACTGTCAGCTACCTTGCTTGAACAACCGTATCAATATTCAATGTGTAAATTAGAAAGAGTTCAGTGCAATTTCAGTCTTATTTCAAATGTTAGACTAATTTAAAAATCGACTCATCATTTTACAACATTGATTTGGAATTGTTCCTCTAAGACAAGTAGAGTTATTCCTTCTATCTGAAGCGTTATTTTAGTATGTGTTTTATGCTGGTAACGTTTGAGAGCGCTATCGTTGCCTGAACATTTCGTCTTTACTTTATAGTAGAGAACACTGCGTTTTGACGCCCTTCTTCAC